ATATATATATATATATATATATATATATATTACTTACGTTCAAAAAATAGATATATTTTTTTATTAATGAAATCTACTTTCCTTCCTTCTGTATTCGTAATATTTCGTATCATGTGACTTTGTATTTCTTTGCATATTCATATAATCTTGTGGCTAGTTTTTTGTGGTGCCCTAATTAAAAAAGAGGACACACATGCAACATACTCACGATCCAGTCACAAACAAAGAACGGAAGAACGCATCTTTCCATATTCGTAAAATCGTGAGTTCTTTTTAGTACAAATAGTAGACGACATAAAGTTATTTATGTAGCTTCCAAAATATCATAAATTTAATTTTACATATTTGAATCTATTTGAAGTTCATCATGAAAAAGTCGGTTTTGGAAGAAAAAATGTGAATTCTAGAAACTGGTTTTTGGATATTTTTGAACAATTACATTTCATATATGTTTTCATTTTTCAATTGTATTTACATGTTAATGATTTTATGACTTTACGTTGAAAACCTTTTTTTATATTAATGGTTTTAATCATTTTATGACTTTATGTTGAAAAAACCTCATTTTTTGAAAATATGTTATTTATGAAACGGGTTATGCGGGTTCGACCTGCTAACCAGTGAACTCGAGTTATATGGGTTGGGTTGGATTGAGATTTCCAACCCACCTACTCATATATTATATGGGTTGGATTGAGTTTATATTTTCTGACCCGTTAACCCGTCAATTCGTGACCCGCCAACTCGAACCCAACCCGATTGCAACCCGATTGCAAGGCCTAAAAATAATAAGACAGTTAAAATTGTAAAAATTAAAAAACAAAATGCACAGCATGACATTAAAATTCTAGTGGAAACTTAGTGGTTTTTGTCCTGTTTATCCAAAAAGAAAACATATGTATTTGATATTTCTATAGACGATGGCAACAAAGAAAATTCCCGTACAAAATCGAAAGCAAGTATGCATTATTCAAGATTCATTAAAAACGACGAAACTCTGCTGTTCAATGGATTGCTGTAAGAACGGCTTCCCCAAGCACATGACCATCAATGGCCTCCACCAGCTTCTCTTTGGTCACCTATGGATAATGGATTAATCCAAACAAATTAGCCATAAAAACACGTAAATTAAGAAACTAATAAATCTCTTAATTACCTTATTTCCCAAATCGATTTCATCATCCAACGCATAAAGCTTGAACTCAAACCGATGTCCAAACGTCGGCAACTTTGGGCTACGCCATCCTGGTAGCTTGAAATCATTGTTCCCTTCCTTGATATTAGCAAAATCGCCACCCTTCTCCTCCTCTTTGCCGGAAAATCCCTCCGGCAACCCTTTCAAGGTTGGTGGTATATTGATCACCACCCACAAAGTCCACGGAACCAGCGGACCATTTGGGTCCGGTGCGTCGATATCCTCCGCCACCAGTGCTAATGTTTTCGTCCCACTAGGAATGTTGTACCATTCTAACGGCGGCGAAATATCTCTCTGTGTACCTGAAAGTTCGAACATTGATAAATCAAATGATCAAGCTAATGAATTAATCTTCCCTACTGAAAATCTAGTAAAGAAAGGAGTAACAGTTATATATACCTTGACCTTCGGATGTGTATTTTCTTGGGAGCCGGCCTTCATGATCGATGCCGGAAGATGTAAGTCTGAACTCATCGCTTGCATTCGCCATTGTTGGTTGGATCTTCTAAGTTAATTCAAGATCTTGTATATATAATATATATCTTCTTATTTGATATTGGAGAATAAGAGTCTTGAGATTAGGAAACTAATTGTTTTCTGTTGTGATGTTTGACGTGTAAGAAGCTTATGGAGTGTCGTAGATGAATAAGGTTCTGTAGCTTGTTGACACGTTTAATTAAGAGTTGTAGCAGGTTAGAATAGCTTGCTGGCTCTTGACACCTTGCCATCCACGTGGCAGTTAGAGTCGAAAGAACAATAGTATCACGTTTTCCATCGTTTGTTTTTAATTTGTTGGATAAATAATACTAAAAAGATCAAATCCACTTTGGGGTTTTAATCACGACAATTAGAATTTGTAGTGTTTCTTTAGGGGTGTATACTGTATACTCAAAGAAAATTAGAAAATTGATTTAAGAAGATGGTATGATATTTAATACCACTAGATAAAGAAAACGACAAATTATTGGGTTGGGTTTGGGGTTGTTGGGTTGCAAGAAATTATTGCTGGGCTAGAATTTTGAAAATTATGAATTGGTTGAGGTTATTAATTATTTCATTCGTAAGAAAGGTATATGAGGAACACAAGAAGAGTGGTAGAAGTGAAAGTTGTTGAGACCGCTTGGAAATTTGATTCATCCATTGTATGTTAGGTAGAAGAATCGAATGAGTTTCTAAAAATGCAGGGAGCGGGAGCAACATATATAGTCAAATATAGGAGATAAACCATTGCTAGTATAGGTAAAGGGATTTTTTCAGGGATCGTGGCGTCAATTGTATAAGAAGGTCAACGATATTCTTCATTTTGGTGAAATATTCGGTGATCGAGGAATCTCCCATAAGTTTATAATCCAATTGAATGAATGACATTTGCATCTTTTTTGTCACCAAAAAAGGTTACGTCGTCAATTAATGTGGAACAATACTATTAACAC